CGCGGCGGCCTCGCCCGCCCGCGCCGCCCCCCTCGCCCTCTTCCCTCGCCCCGCACCCTGCAGAGATGTCTGCGTATATATTTCCACCCTCTTATTTCTGTACCCTTAATGGGAATTTGACAATGCGGTGTGCAGGCAGCGGGTCCCTCTGCGCCATGAGCCATAGGCTGCGGAGCCTCATGGTGGCCGTGGAGGCACCTCACGCCGTGGAGTGTCGTGGTGCGTGGTGTGGGGTGGTGCGCGGCCTGGGAGCGCACAGGCCAAACCCAACAGGCTCCAAACTCACGGTTTGGAGCTGCACAAAACATTCTTATGTTGAAAAAGGGGAAAAATCCCTTAGGAATGAAAGCAGCTGGAGCAATATTTTTCTTCAAGGTTGGGCACAATGGGAATCGTGCCCTAAAGTCCCCACCTGCCAAGCCCTAGGTGGGCAGAGGCTTTGGGCCGCATCCTGGTTTTTTCCCTGTGTAGTCCAGTGGGCATTTCAGGTGTGAAGTAGAACAGGAGCGAGCGTTAATTGGCAATTTTGTCCCAGTCCTGACCCTGGATGTTTGATGGTGCAAATAATTACCGCTTTGATTATTATTAGTATCGCTATACTTGCAAGTCTTATCAGCATGCTTTGAAGCCAGTGACCACTGCATCCTTTGTTTGCACTAAATTAATTTGGAAACAGCATGTTCCAAATGGCCAGTCATTTCCGTTGAATTTACTAGGCTATACTCACATACAAAATCTCCTGAGAAACAAGCATGTGTAATAATGTCTGGCAATAATTTATGTTTTTGCACTAAGGTGGTTTTTTTTGTTGTTGTTTTACAGGAAAATACTCTGAAAATACCCAATTCTAACAGGCTTTTCTTTTTGCTGGACCTTCTATTGCCTTTCAAAAGAAGAAAGAAATGACAGATGGTGAGCCACAGTAAACAGTGCAAACTATCCATACTGTTATTTTTAGTTTTCAGTGAGGTTTTTCAGGATCCCTGTTCCATACATGGAATACTGCATTTCCAGCTTCACATAATGGTTTGCACAGACAAAAACCATACTTTCAAGAGCATCTTTACTATTGTGCATTCGGTCCTACCTAATCAATCCTGGAAAGAAGTATTATATTCAATTTTAAGTATTTTCAGGATTGGACACTGCTATATTCAATCTTAACATTTGAAATGTGTGTAAGCACTTTCTAAAACCTAGGCCAGTTTCACCTCTGACATTGGGTCAGCTTTACTGAGCTCAGTGGCATGTTGCTCACTTACAGCAGAAACAAACTTGGCCCTTAAAATCTGAAAGTAATCTGTTACCACGTAACATTCTTAAAATACCTCTCATGCTCAGAGACCTCCTTAAGCAAATGCATGCAGGCAGCCGCTGAATTGTGACCATCTCTGGGGTAGAAGGTGATAACCAGATGGAAAAAAAGCATCCTGGATAACACAGTAGAATGGGATATTTTTTACCAAGTATTCTGGACCTCCTCTTACACCTTGTGCCCTGGCAGTCTTCACTGGCGATGCAAAAAGAAGGAAAAAATATGACAATAGGTTCTGGATACATAGAATCAGCCAAATCACCCTCCTCAGCATTAGGAAATGTACTGACACATATTTATTTCAGAGAAGTCCTTGAGCCCTGCAGTGTGGATGATGATCTGAATTCTTTAAAGCTGAGAGCGTTTGTAACCGAGGCTTATTTCAATATGATCTCTGCTATAATTACTTCTGCGTCTATGCTCCCCTTGCCCTCCCCTTCCTTCTTCCCCTTTTATAATGTAAAATTTGCAGCTACAACTCCGAAGCGTCCTTGTGGTCAGGGAGAGGGTACGAGCCCTTTTATGCAGGAGGTAGCTGTGTCAGTGCCCATGCAACATTAAACATTACCTGACAGCTTTGTGATCGCCCCCAGCACTAAGTTGTCGGCTCCCTGTCCCTTCTCCCTTCTCAGTTGTCCCTTCCCCCTCTCCCAGATATTTCTCCAGCCCTGTCTCATTGGTGCACTACTCTCCTTTGCCTTTTTTGGACTGCCACCCTGTCAATCTAATGCAATAAGGCCAGGGGCAGGTGCAAACCCCTTGCTATGGCTCCTCTTACTAACCAATCCTCTACCGGCCCCTCGTCCCAAAATACCTAAAAGCCAATGGAGTGGGAAAACCCGGGACCCCGGGCAGAGGGAGAGGCTAAAGCTGCTGGATTGCTGGGGCGGGGGGCATCCATTTAGGACCCGGGTTAGCCCAGGAGCTGCTGAACGCTTGGATTCCTCTTGGGACTGTGGTGACTTGTGGATAGCAGGCGTGCTCTGCTGATTCATTTTCATCACCGTCAACATGGTGATCAAAGTCTTTGTAGCCACATCTTCAGGGTCTACAGCGGTAGGTGTCTCATTTAACATACTCCTCTTTCTGCTGGGGTCAGGTTGGTAAATTAGCCTAGATGATCCCAGGACAACCTGAGTTTGCACGGCGAAAAAAACACTGGATTTCTTCTAGTCTGCATTGCGCATCTTATTCTTGAAAGCTATTCAAGATGTAGAGAATTCCTATTAATGCAGGCTTGCTTGCATGCGAGTTTTTACTACAGGTATAACATTTACATATAAATTATCTGTCATTTAATAGATTTACTTCTGTTTAAAAAAGTATATGCAATATATATTCACTGAAGAAGGAAAAAGTGGATATTGTATTTGTACAAAAGCTAAGGTAGATTGTTTACAGTAGAAATTTATGCATGTCTTTTTAAAAGAGACTTTAGGACACTGCTCCTGCAAAAGGGGAATTCTGTCTAAGAAAGAGCCTGGAGCCAAAGTAAGCTGAATAAAGTTATGCAGAAAAAAATTCTTCCCCACCCCCATCCCTTTTCCTAGATTTTGTTCTGGTTTTTTTTTTGTTTTTCCTTGGTGTTTTTTGTGTGTGTGTGTGTGTGTCTTGAAATGCTCTACTGATGATTTTTAGTATTGAGATCTACTGCTGTAGCTGTCAGCATAGTGTATCAGCTGAAGGGAAGGGCATGTGAATAGTAGGGAGGTTGGAAGTCCGTGGGAGGTGGGAACCGGGAAAGGACTGTTTCCTTTTATATCCAGTTCCCAGATGAGCTCAGATTGCAGTTTTCCTTTGGCAGTCACTCACTCCCAGTGACATGGCTAAACAAACTGGCTGGTGCTTGTGCATAGCTGTAACTACATCTCTGTCTCTCTGACACCAGCTCCGTGTCTTTAAGAAGCTTCCAGAGTTGAAAAGCTCCAAAAACCACACCCTGTTCACGGGGCCATCATCTCTAGACAATGAACCGGGGGGTCATTCACTAAAATTCAAATTGGAATACAGCTGAGGAAGTTTGCAGTTCTCTCATCAGCTTGTCTCGCCAGCCTATCGCTAAGCCTGACACTCTAAATTTACTATTGACATTTTAGCATTCCTTTTTTTATGAGAAACCTCAGATGCAAGGGAAAAAAAGAAGAGGGGGTTGGAAACTGCAGGTTTGGTAATTTGTAATCTAGCAGTTACTGCTCAAGTGGGTTTATAAATTGCCATACGCTGTGCGTTGGCAGTCTTTTTGCTCCTTTTTGGTCTCCTGTTTTGGTCTCTTTGGTTGACCAAAGAAGAGTTGTCCCTACCTCCTTTGCCACTCATCCATTTTCTGGGGAAAGTTGTGACCGTGACTGAAACCCCATTGCAGACACTCAGTATGTGTGTGTTGGGCCCATCATCATCTCGCGTGCCTCAGGCACGCACTGTTGCCACTCCAGCTATAGGATTGGGGCTGTAGTTCAGCAAGGCAGTTGTACGAGTGCTTTGATTAAACACTGACATTCAGAGATCACTTATGCAATTAAAACTGAGCGTATCATATATTTAGCACTAGCTGAACCAAGATCTTTCCTCTGCTAGACACATTCCTTGTATCTTCTCCCAGCTAGCAGCTGTAACTAACTCCTTTCCTCTTGGACTGCAGTGAAGGGATGTGTATGCTACCCTGAACACTGAGCAACATGCAAGCTTTATCCAGCCATTTTGAGCTGTTAAGCATTGCTATTGTGGTTTGTTACTGCTAAGAAAGATGGCTAATGCCAGTGAACTGTATAGGTTTTAAGCTTATAAATGCCAATCTCCATCGTATGTTAGCAGCCCACAAAAGCTGTTAGTGAGATCCCAGACATACACTGGAAGGAAGGGTATGGCATCTTTACACGGCAATATGCCTCTGTATGTCGTCCTTCCTGGTGTGTTGGGGGTACATGTAGCTGCAGCAATCTCAGAGGCAGCGTGTGTTCAGATTACTGACACATAATTGCAATGCCAAGTAAACACAATGTTCAGCTGGAGTCGTTTTCCACATTTACTGACGAGAATGGATGGAAGGTATGTTTTCAATGAACCTTTAATGAGTTTTGGTATATATAAAATAAAACTCACTCATGCAAGGAGCCAGCACAAACCCCAATATATCACTAAAATCCCATTAAAAACAAATTTTGTATCAGCCTTGTACAGCTTTTCCTGAGAAGAATGAATTTAATCCCTAAAGAGCTTAAATTGGAAGTCCAAATTCTCCTAGTAGCACTGGTGCTCTCTTCAATGTGGCCAATCTCCATCACATGCGAGTTGTTAATTTTGAATTTCAAAATAAGATGGGCCCAGCCTCCCCTGGTGTAAATCAGCAGAGGATCATTGGTAAAGAATGAAAAACATTTCTATTCTATGTACTACACAGTCACACTACTAATTGCAACTGGTTTTCATGTTAATAAATACTTTTTAAAAGTGAATGCAGTGAACCCAGTAACATTCTGGTGCTCTGGATCAGACGCTTGAATGATATAATTCACTGTGACAAGTGGTGTCCTGCAGAGGTCCGTATTGGGACTGGTTTAATACTGTTTAGTATCTTCATCAATGACATAGACAGTGGGATCGAGTGCACCCTCAGCAAGTTTGCAGACGACACCAAGCTGAGTGCTGCGGCTGACATGCCTGAGGGACGGGATGCCATCCAGAGGGACCTGGACAAGCTCGAGAAGTGGGCCCCTGTGAACCTCATGAGGTTTAACAAGGCCAAGTGCAAGGTCCTGTCCCTGGGTCGGGGCAACCCCCAGTATCAATACAGGCTGGGGGATGAAGGGATTGAGAGCAGCCCTGCCGAGAAGGACTTGGGGGTACTGGTGGATGAAAAGCTGGACATGAGCCAGCAATGTGCACTCGCAGCCC